CCCCGCGCCTTTCCGGTAGGAAGATGTAGGACGACTACCTGCAATCTGTACGCAACGATGCGCAAAAATGATGCGCAAGAAATCGCCCGATACGCTCCCATAAGGTCCCTCCGAGGAGAGAAACCCGCGCCTTTTTGACGGGCGAGGGTGAGCATGGGAGCAGGAGTACGCGCGAGACGCGTCGTACTCTTGCCCGGCATTTGATGTGCGCAACATCTACGGCACACCTCGTGCACTTGCATCGCTACGAGAGCGAATGGCGACGGGTGGAATTTGACTTGGTTGCGTGGTTGTGATGTCGGGGGAAAAGCAGAAGCGGAGGAACGGGGACACACACATAGAGAGAGAGAGAGAGAGAGAGAGAGAGAGGACTCACTCTGCAGCGTGCGCAATGCCTATGGATTCCCTTCTGCCCGCCGCATTGAGATTTCCACTGGCTGAATCGACGCAGAAAACAATGGCGTCGATCTTTTGCGCATTGTTGCTGGATGAAGAGACTGAATTGAGCTGCTTGTCGCGCAGATGAAGCAGCCTATTGTCCCCTGGCACGTCCACAAGCGTGAAGGAGCGAGAAGAGGAAGAAGTGGTTCGGGAGAGGAGACGAGAGATGACTTGGGATGTGTGCGTCTTGGGCACGATGCTGCTGCTGCTGCTGCTGCTGGAGGAAGCGCGCGGCAATGAGAGGGACAATGCGAGGGAAGTCTTGCCGCTGTTCGAAGGTCCCGTCAAGAGCACCGTCGCATCCCCTACAACCTTTCGTCTGCTGCTCCTTTGAGAGCCGGAGGCGACACTGGCAGCATGAGCATGGGGATGCAGAGAAGAGCGAGATCGAAGAGAGAGCAAAAGGGAGAGGGTGACTAGACTGACGAATAGCGATACGAGGAAAGAGGGCGTGAGGTTGGATAGGGGACCGGAAGAAGGAAGAATGGCATCCAGTTGGCCTTGCATCGATGCTTGCCAGGCGCTCGGTAGAATGTCTGGCCAGCGCAAGGCGGGCGCTAACATTGCCATGGTGAGGTGCTGCGAGAGCGCCGAAACTTGAGAGTCGATCCGACGCGACGGTGACAGGAGAGCGTTGATGATGAATGGTGAATGTGAAAGATGGCAGTCGTGAGTGTCAGTCCAGAGTCCATGCTCGCGAGGGGCGAGGTGCTAGGTGCGAGGTGCGTGGTGCGTGGGGTGAGCAAGCAAGGCATGCACGCATGGCCGGCGCGCAAAAGACTCGGGCTTGCGCCAAATACGCAAGAGCACCTCTCGTACGAGACGATGATGGCTCGTGCAGAGCTGCGACCGACGCGCCAAAAGGATACAAATCATGTGGGCGGTACGGGTGAGGGTGTGTGCATACAAGCCAGCCGCTGCTGCTGCTGCTGCTGCTGCTGCTGTGCAAGATCGATCTCGCATCGGTGGATGGAGTTGCACTCACACTCACACTCACGACCCGACTCACTCGTGACTCTGCATCGCGCATTCATTCAGAAATTCGCGATCGGGCTTCGTGATTGTGATCATAGCACTCGACTGCAATTGTTACAAACACCAACCGCACACTCTGACTCGAGTCTTGCTCATTTTGTCAAGCATACTCGCACCCACGCCCACGCCCACGCCCACGCCCACACCCAACCACGGCCTGCTCGGTGGTCTGACAGCTACTGGAGCTCGGCAGACATCAATCGAAAGATGTCGCACGCAAGCAACAAGCGCGTAAGTAGGTCACCTCATCCCTCTCTCTAGCGACCACATTCATCAATACTGACTGTGCTGCGAGCATCACAATCATCATCGTCATCATCTGGTCTGACTCGCTGCACGACGTCTCAGCTGGCAAAGGAGTCGCAGATGATCAACAAGGATCCTCCTCCTTTTTGTTATGCTCGGCCGAAGGAGGATAACATTCTAGAATGGTGAGCTGCGCCTTCGCTCTCAACCGGGGAAAACGCGGTGCAAAGGAGCTGGCCCTTGCGTTGTTGCGGTCTTGAGGGATGGAGTGGGAGTGGCTAGCTGGAGGAGATCGCGACTCGCAACCACTCAGTGAGCATGCAAGCATCGGATCCTTCGTGCTGAATGTCGCCATTCGCCCTTCTCGACTTGTATGAACAGGCACTACATTCTGCGTGGTCCACCTGACTGTCCTTACGCAGGCGGCGAATACTGGGGCGTCCTCCTCTTCCGTGAGCGCGACAACTTGCTCCCCCCTTTTCCCGCAGCCACAGCCACGCTGACGCCCCTGGCGATGCACCCCATGTAGCCGCTGACTACCCCTTCAAGCCGCCCGGAATTAAAATGTACACTCCTTCGGGTCGTTTCCAGATCAGTGAGCTTGTAGCGTGGGAAGTCGTCGAGACTTGGTGGTCGAGTGGGCGCTGGCTGACCAAGATTGCTGCTCTTTTCAGACACTAAAATGTGAGTGCTGCTTCAAGATTGCCAGCTACTGAATGGAGCCGGGTGCGAGTGCCTAGAGTCGCACGGTGGAGCAGCCGGATGTTGGCGAAGCAAAGACGTCTTCGATGGTCAGTCTCGGCTTGCGAATGACAGCAGTCGCTGACTATTGCATGCTGTAACGGCTCGTCCCCTTCTATTTGGTCGTCTAGCTGCATGAGCATGAGCGACTTTCATCCTGGATCTTGGAATCCCGCTTGGAGCGTTTCCACCATGTGAGTCTTCGAGCCATCGTGGGGCCTGCTGCTCCATCTTCACGTGGCTGATCACTAGACGGATGTTGCGCGCGCGCGCGACGCAGCTTGACTGGTCTCCTTTCCTTCATGGTGTCCGAGTCTCCGAGCGAGGCGACCACTACAGGAAGCGTGAGTGCTGAAGCTTGGCCTCATCCGTGAAATTTGCTCCATCCTCCTAACGTTCATGCCCCTAATGTTCAACGCATCACGCTAATCTTCCAGATGACGGCCACCTCGTCCGATCGCGCAAAGTTCGCCAGCCTATCGCACAAGTGGAACACTCAAGAGAAGAAGTTTTGCGCCGTCTTTCCAGAGTATTCGAAAGAGGCGGTCACGGATCTGCCCAACATGGGCCAAGCGATGGGAGGAAAATTGGCCATTGATCCGAGCGTTGCGCAGGCGTCGGAGTCAGAGGCAAAGGGAAAGGATAGCTCGAAGGTGCGATCAGGTGCGCTCAGGAAGGGTTACGAAATGATCCACGAAACTTCGCCTGGCGACGGCAAGCTGACCCGCTTTGCATGCCTCACTTTTCTCCGGCAGTGAATGGGCAAACCAAAGGTTCCTCTTCGAAGAAATCGGCGGTGCCGGTGCCAGGCGCAAAGGACATGAAGGAAACTGGAGTTGCTACAAATGGAACAGCGAAAGCAGCGGAGGATCCAGCACGCGCACGACCTTTGGGCTTCTTTTCCAGCTACACGAATATGGCAATCAGCTTGCTCTTGGCCCTCTTTCTCGCCAGACTGTTCAGCAAGCTGACTTGAGCTAGATCAGGTCACCAAGCATACCAAGCATAAGGAACCAAGATTTTGTTCAGCTCGGGCCATGGGTGTCTCTATCATCTGTGTCCAAGCGCTGATAAGCGTTGACACGTCCCAACATTAGAATGATCTGCTCCAGGCTATATCGACCCCCTCACGTCACACATCGCACGCGCTCAGCTCCTCATCACGAATTTGGTCCTCGGCTACCTCACACACACTCTCTCTCTTGTCTCTCGAGACTCGCACCCTCTGTCTCTTTGTTCATTGCTGTACCACATCATCTGCCTCCCGAACGAGCCACTATTCAGCACTCCCTTCTTCAAGGATTCCGAAGGTCACAAGAAGCTCCAAAGATCCAGCATGCAGCGTGCGGATGATCTGTTGGAGGAGCACTGCTCCATGCATCGACGATCTGCGCGCGTAATAGCTGCGAAGCGTCATCCCGTACTGTAAAGCCTCTTGCGTCAGCTTTGAGCCACCCCTGTTTCGAAGTTGCGCAAAGCTGGCCTCTGCCGAAATGAAGTTGGGTTGTATCATGCGTGGGAGCGATGAATTTGCTTGTCTGTGTGTGTGTGTGTGTGTGGCGAAAAAATTGAAAGGGTCGGGGAGGAGGCCGGAGCGTTGTGTTGACTTATGGAACTATCCCC